GCGACACTTGCGTTCTAGCGCCTTTTATCAGCCCTTATCAGTTGTGATCACTTTCTTTACCCCACCAAATATGTTCCCGTCCCACCCCCTATATCATATCTTGAAACCAACTCCTGACGACCACTGGTGCCCGAGCTATGAATTTCCGGTCAGACAGACAAACACATACACACACAGACACACACACGCACAACCGCTTAGCCGATTATATATCCTTCTATTTTATAAAGCGCTAACTTTGTGTGTCGGTTTGTGTATCTGTATGTGTGTGTATGTATGTATGTGTGTCCGTCCGCAAAATGAAGTGAGTGAGAAGGAAGCTCATGGGATAAACAAACCGCTAACAGAATCATGTAGCTCACAGGACTTTAGCTATTAGTGTTTTGCAATGGCATGATTGTGATAGCATCCCCAACGGCTATATAAACACGCACTTAGCACACTTTCGGTCATTCGACAAGGTGATGCTGTGGTAGCCGGCGAGCAGAGGGGAACGAGGGGAGAGTAAGGAGAGGAGGGAGAAGGGAAAGCTTACGCAAGGTAGGGAGGTTCCGGCGCTTGCCCGGGGGACCAATCTGGTAGGTAGGAGGTACAAGAGCTCGCATCCATGCGTTACGTGTACTGGAGCTTACTATGAGATGTGCAGCGACTCGCTTGGTGGGCTGGGGGAGCAGAGGCGGGATATTGGGCTGGTAAATATTGTTATTGATTCTTCTTGGTGTCAAGCGGTATTTTGTTGCTGGCTGCAGCACCATTGATGCCATACACGCCGCTCGTCTTCTGCTAGAAAAACACCGTGAAAAACAAAAGCCGGTGCATTTGCCTTTCTAGACTTGGAGAAGGCTTTTGATCGCGTTCCACGTGAAGTAATATGGTACGCCTTACGACAACATGGCGTCCCCGAAGAGCTTATCGAGTGGGTTCGCATGCTTTACTCAAGCCCAAAGAGCCGAGTGCAAACGTCAGCTGGCGTTTCGGATAACTTCGTGAATCTGAAATGGGCATGGCGTTTCGACAGAATTCCCCATCTCTGTTGGGGTACATCAGGGCTCTGCGCTTTCCCCACTTCTTTTCGTTGTCGTCATGGATGCCATCTCACGAGATCTTCAGAAACCGGCTCCATGGACGCTTCTCTATGCTGATGACGTGATGCTCGCCTGCGAAGACAAAAACGTACTCGAACAACAAGCGCAAGCTTGGTGCGATCGCCTAGCGATGTTCGGACTCAGGTTGAACGTTAGGAAGACTGAGTACCGCTGACTACCTACCACGAGCAGAGTAGAATGTAGAGGGTCTATTCAAAATAATGGATAGTTGGAGTGGACATTCAAGTACCTTGGATCAGCAATTGCGTCTGATGGCAGTATGAGTACTGAGGTGAACTCGCGTGTGAGTGCGGCTTGGTCCAAGTGGCGTTCTATGACGGGAGTTCTCTGTGACAAGAAAATCCCAGAACGCCTAAAATCGAAGATCTATAGGACAGTCATAAGACCAGTGGCATTGTACGGCGCTGAGTGCTGGCCAGCGACCAGGGACACTGAAACTCGCCTCGGGAGTAACGAAGATGCTGCGCTGGACGGCTGGTGTCACGCGATTAGATCGCGTCCGGAACGATGTCATACGAGAACGCTTTGGTGTAGCTCCCATTGCTGATAAAATGCGCGAAGCTCGGCTTCGTTGGTTTGGCCACGTTCTTCGCGGAAATGATGACAGTGTTCGCAAGATCGGCCTCAACATAGACGTGCACGGAAAGCGGCCCAAGGGGCGCCCGAAACAGCGCTGGCTCGATACGTTGCACGCAGACTTGAAGTTGGTTAACATCCACCCCGACCAAGCATTTAATCGGGAAAAGTGGCGACAGCACATCAGAAAAGCGGACCCCGCCAACAAGCGGACAAAACGCTGAAAGAATTAATGAGAACGGAAGAAGAAGGAAAGGCGGTTGAGTATGTGCCCGACGGGAATTTCAGAGCTTCGCTCCCACTGGGTCTAGAACGCTTAAACTTTTACCGGATCTAGTGGGTTGATTATAGGTGGTGTGTGATCAAAAGTGATAGCCGCTGATCAGATCTGATAACGTCGAAGAATAATTGAAATTGATTTGTGCAGATGTTATGTGGCAGAATCCCTGCAGATGCTTCGGCAATGGATTGGTGTATGGTGATGTTACTGCTCCCGGACCCTTAGGAAAACTGCATAATGACCCCATGTCAATAGAAAAACGTGACTTAACAGTTCAGCCTTAGTAATGAAGTTGAAAATGTAGAGGTTTAGAAAAGTTTATCGGACTGTGAGCACCCATAGTTCTCACAATTTCGTCCTTTCTTCTAATCAAGCCAACCTGTTCATCCCAAGGTTTCTCTTCAATCATTTTCCCGTCAATATCTATATAGAATGGTTTTGCAGGACTTCAAGAAGTGGACTCAAGTCCACGTCAAATAAACGTAAGTTTCTCCATCTTACGAGGAGTTACAAAACTAGCTCTCAAAAACAAGCCGTCAACTGCGACCAAGAGAAACCAAAGCGTATTAACTCGATGATGCAGTTGACTGCTGAGCCGACCCCACCCCACAGAAACAGCAGAAGCCGGCATAGTTCTCGAAAACAGCCGCTCGCATGATAGGTGTCAATCAAACGGAATATGAGATGAAATGAGCTGCCGTTATGACATAAAATTAGCTCTCTCTGGAGCACTCTCATAAGTAGTTTTCTATCGATCGCTTACACTTTTAGAGTTAGGCAGGTGTCTCACTTTGTGGGTGTAACTAGTCGCGGATCCGCGGAGTCGCTAACGCCTAGCTGGATCCGCGATGTCTGACACCGGAGATAATGCAACGGTGAGTGATGCTGGTGAGCTACGTCGCGCATGACCTGTAGATCGAATATTGGCTCCGTCTTCGTAGTATGTTGACTGACATGTGACAGCTGGAAGCTTGAAGACATGTCTTTGATCACATTGGTGTGGCTCTTGCAAAAAAAATGCGAATGTATTGGTGCGAAATGGGCCGGCAGTGAAGAAAAAAGGAAAAGAATCCGTCGAAAACGCTTAGGTTAAGGGCTCACTCACCTTCCTAATCGGCTGTGCTAAGGGAATGAGAGACTAAGCGCGGAGAGGAGAGTATGAGGCGAGAGAGCGCTACAGATGAGAGAGCGCCAGACAACAGCCTGACAAGAAGAAAAATCTGCAGCTTCTGCAGCTCAATTAGCATTCGGTTTGCGTGCACTGGAACGCCACATTGGTGATTGTCCTTGGGGAGTTCATACTACAGAGCGAATTGAAGCGTTTACACGACCACTGCCTAGGTCGTCCCTTCAAAAGTATGGCCAGAACTAGAACCTTTGAGAAACATTGCATACTTCAAACCAAGCACGTGAAGGCAAGCCCCGGGATTGGGCACACTAGTACGAAGCACGCCAAGAGTGAACGTGTTCCGTTCGTACCTACAGAACTTCAGCTGCCAGCTTCGCTGCGCAAACTGCGCGGTTAGAATGCTAATCATTACAGACTTGCAATTCTTCCCGCTAAACGCGATTGATGTAGGGATTAGCGCGCTCTCTTTCACAGCGTGCTATCTCGCGTTTTTTCTTCCCTATTCTGTCTGTCTCTCCGTCGCACCACATCTTACATTACTAAATAGAATCTCAATGCTCTTGATTTGAACAAGAGTGACTTATCGGTATGGCTGACTAGGTTCCACCGCAGCTACGTTACACTAGCGCGCTCTGTTCAACATTGGAGCGCGCGAATGAACTTCAGAATGTGCAATCCACTTGCGCACGGGAGACGGTCAATTCAATCGTCGGCTAATGAGGTCACGCCGCTCACGCGGCGGCAGCGTCGCGCGCGGCAAATGGTGCGGCGATTTTTGTATGGGCCTTGGCTTAACGGTCCTTGTCCATAAGTTGCTGGTGGGGTTAGAGAACTGATAAGACCAAAGTTCCAGACATCAGTGAGCCAACAAGAACCATCTCCGCAGTTATTTAAGCCTCACTGTACAGAGCTTGTGCCATGTAAAGGTTGTCCTTTTGAACATAATGAGACTTCTTTATTAATCAACTGCCTGAATTGTTATCAGAGAGCGATAATCTGGCTAAATCGGAAATATTACGTTCCAAGACGCAGTGGAACGGTGAGGAAGGCAATAACATCAGTATGACAGAATAAGTTTGTAAATAATGGCAAAGGACAAGGATCCTGTATTTTAAGGGGGCAGGTGATCATATACCGTGTTTCACGACTGGGAACTTCATCTAATCCTACATTCCCCAATGCTAGAACCCTGAATTCTAGCCACGGCCGACGTCGCATCGCGGGCTGCGGCGGCTGGCGCGGCGACCTAGCCATCGCCACGATTGAATAGTCACGCACCCCTTGCGCACGGGTACGAGGATTCTCAAAACGAGGCTACGTCAGTGTTGTTCTCACGCGGCTGAATCGCCGTCCTACCATATTCCATTTTGCTTTCCAATTGATGCCCATATTCTCGTCGTGGCTGTCGTAGTGGAGTGCGCAGGGTCCAAGTCGGAAGGAGTGCTTTCTAGTACTACTGATAATACAACAGGGATACTCCCTGTTGTATTATCAGTAGTACTAGAAAGCACTCCTTCCAACGCCGCCGAAATGGAGTTCCATCACATCATCTCGTTATGTTCGGTTGCACGAAGCCCTTACCACATGCGCTGTCGGAATCGGGCACCATAGGGTGGTAACAGGAGTGGCTTCCTCCGGTAAACCACACCCGCGAGCGCCACTGGCTCAGACGCGTAGAACCAAAGATTCCGACGTCCACTCCAGCACTGCAACTTGAGAGGCAACTTTCAGAGTTGGTAAAGCTGCAAGCGATCCGTTTGCCGACAGCTCCTACCAACGAACTTCACTGCTGTTGTAGTTCAATAATGTGGGCAAGCAGATGGGATCTCCAACACTAGAAAAAGAAAACAGAAGAAAACACGTAGAAAACATTGCAAAGATCACTTCATTAGAATATCAAAACCAGTTGATGTCACGGGATTTTCCAGATGAAGAAAGGCGAGACAATGGAGATGGGCATAGAGGCAGAGATGATACAGAAAAAGGCGAGCAACCACACCAGCAACGTTCTAAAGAAACCGAAGGGCAGGGACCGCGAGGGTTCGAAAATCAAAGCTTCAAGGTCGCCAAATCCTCCAAACGCGCTAAGGATATGGTAAGGTCTCCCACGTTACTTGCAATTATATAAATCTTAACTGTAAATTTAGACTATTTTCACCAAATAGAGCTATACTATAGAATAAGCATCGAACTGATGTGAGCAAACAATACCTACTTGTCCCTCCCATGCACTGTTAGAACTTCTATTCGGCCGCGTTCATAGTTCGCGACTTCGGAGATTAGGATAGTACGCGACAATGAAAAACATATGTATTGACGGGAGATTAGGATAGTAGTAGAGTAGGAGATTGCGCTGACAAGATTAGATACGTATCGATTGAAATCGCCGGAGAGTAGTAGATTGCGATATTACGATAGTAGGATAGTAGTAGAGTAGGAGATTAGGATAGTGCGCTGACAAGATTAGATATGTATTGATCTATTCGCTTGAAGTCGCCCAATCTACTACTCTCCAGCGATTTCAATCGATACGTATCCAATCTTGTCAGCGCAATCTCCTACTCTACTACTATCCTAATATCCTGTCGCCTACTATCCTAATCTCCCGAGTCGCGAACTATGAACGCGGCCTAACCATTGTCTGCACTCTAGGCTATCCGAGTAGAAACACAACTTAGATTAGAGTGCGAACGGAGGTTCAATTCTATTAACTTTTTTTCTGTGTTACATGACCGTTATGTAGTCAACTCTTTAGTCAAAACACATTTACGCGTAATCTAGTCTTATTTCTATTAGGTGATTGACTGCTCATTGAATTTCATATTATTGATTATCATTGCGCATTGTAGGTAGAACACTGGGTTAACCGAGCACTTGATGTGGGAGTACAAGGACTTGTCGACGAATTCCGCTCAAGTTTGTCCAAGTGGCAACCAGAAGGCATGACAACAGTGGCTTTTCTCGCAAATCGTGACAAAAACAGGTACCCGCCTTTTCCACACCTTTACTTAGTGGAAGAATACGAAATGTTCTGGAACGACGAAGTTTAACAAACTTGGGAAGGGGGAGAGAAAAATGGTTCGATGACACCACCTGTAGCGACCAGTGCCCCGAGGATGATATGCGCATCGGCGGATGGGACATTTGGCCACGCAAATGTGGATATTTTAAGGGTCCACACACCCTCCAGGGGGATGTCGCACCGAATGCTCTAAATGGCAGCCAACTGCTGCAGCCTGCCCCGGGTATTGCTGAGGCCTTACAACCCCCTTTGCTAAGGACGCTGGCAACCGCATTGACCGCAATAAAGATATGAACGATTACGTGTTATATACTGTTACACGACAGAACACGATATATTACTACTTTTATGACAAATATCCACAGACATGAGAAGCATCACTTCCAAGCTTTACTCCTTGGTTTTTTATGCGGTACCCAACCAAACGTCAGTTCCACCAATTATCGGATACAATGCAATGCAAGCTGCAAGTTTATAATGCCATAGAACAACGAAAACGCAAACACAACGAGGATATGAGTACAAATCGAACAAAATATACAAAAAGAATATAAAGAACGTGATTTGCACTTTGACTTTTTAATTGCATTTGAGCTAAACTTTGGTTTCCATTGAATTCCGTGCGATAAAGTAACGAACTTAATAGCACGTTGTCGACGTTACTACCACTAATGTCAGCCGAATAATATTCATCGATATTTGCTGCCTCGCTGTCGTGCAATAGCTCGAACAAAACTACAAATGAACATCCACAGAACTAGATGCAAGATATTAAGGTTATTACAAATATGACAACACGGTTAATGAGATATCAAAGATAAGAGAATTATATGAGGAAGATAAGAAGATGAGAATGAGGAGAGAGGTCGGGTAGACTACTAACTAACTAGGGACTAACTGGAGAGGGCATAATATCGGTCCGTCCCTGTTGCTCGGAAGCAATAATGTAGGCCGGGTGGGATCGAAAAGCTTGTGCTTAAAGGAATCTTGCGCGGAAAAATCATGATTCTATTTCAGCCATAAATCACTGGCTTGAGACTCATTATCCACGATAATAGTGAAAAGAACTGAAGTATTGCTTTCGTTTTGATTAGAAATTCGAAAACTCGAAAAGGCTGCTACGCGTTCGAATTGCCCACGGACGTCTTTCACGAATGCTGGCGACGGGGATGCTCAAACTTGGTTCTTGGAGTGCATTCACTAGAAGCTCTTTCTGGCCTTCTGCTTCGTTGCATTCACATCTTACACTTCTACTCCATCCTATTCCATCGATCGATTTGTCTCCACTCTCTCCGAAATCGCGCGCTTTAACCCGATGATTCTCCCCATCCTGCGCGTCGCCTGTACGTAGCCGGCCAAACGCCGTCTTCTTTCCATGCCTCGCCTGGCTCTGCCTCCTGGTCCTTCGATGGTCCATAACGTGTAGTTTTTGTACGTTTGTTTCTCTTCAGAAACCGAATCTTCATGCGTGAAACTTTGTGTGCTATTTCCAGTGATCACAACTGACATATTCATGTTAGGAAAGAGTGCAAGAATTTTCCGCGCAAGATTCCTTAAGAGCGTAACGCTCACAACGTTTCAGACTTCTCCGCAACCGGCTACTCAGGAAGAACCATGCTACTCAGGACGCGACGCATGATGGCACTGGACTTACAATTGGCGTCTCTGGCGAGAGACATAAAGAGTGTTACCGTAATTTTTCTCACGCCGTTGGCGCCGCCCTAATTCTGACATCCTGTCATGAAAGCTTCTATATCGTAGCACTTCAGCGCGGTTTCCTTCCTCGCATGCCACAAGAGATATCCACGTCGTACGTAAATCAGGACACCACCCCTGCTGGCAGCCGAGGATCATCCCGTTGCGTTCGTATTTTTCGCGAAATATTTTGCGACCTGCCACCATCCCCTCGTCACCTCCAACCACCACCCTCGTCATCACTTGCCCACCCCGGCTAATTTATAGTGGTTGCTTCTGAGAGTAGTCGATACGCTCAAAGTCGAACTCCTTCCACCTTCTCCAAAACTCTGGGAAGAGAGTAAACACCTGTATTGAACACCAGTAAACTCTCCAATTTCTACTTTTTACGTCTTCTTTATGAACCTTTTCGCTCAGAATCGTCGAAAAATCCTTCAAAAGCGACCCATTCTTCCGTTCCTCCACCCTTCGCCACTAAAATTCGTATTTTAGATGTACATCAGTCAACAGTCAACTTCCATTCATTATCATGCCCACAGCTTTTAAATATTCCAATTAATAATCTTTGAATGATCCGAAAACTCTAAATGACTCAAATAAAGAAAGTATGAAGCAGTACCTTACGGCGTGCGGCCAGTATTTTATTCCCAACGACAACATAGTGGCATTTGGATGCATTTCGTTCTATACAATGTCCTGCGTTGAGCAATAAACGAACCTGTTACTCTTTCACCCTGGCAGATGAAGCCTCTATCTAATTACTGACTCGTAAACTAAACTCGGACGTGGTTGGCCTATAATGGATTATTGTGATTGATGATTATCGTGATTTGTGCTCGAAAGTTCAAGGCTGTTCTGGCGTGCTAGTACTTGCCACTACCATCGAAGAAGTGGTATGCTCAGTTATGAGTGAATTGAAGTTATTCAGATATCTCGATGTTCCATGTCAAGATCAGCGTCGGGTTATTCTCAACTGGCCAGGTCTTCCAAATGACTATATACATGCTAACTATGTTGCCAACCCAGCTCGTGATCATCGCTTCATTTGCGCTCAAGTGATTACATTCCATCATATCTTGCTCGTCTCATCTCACAACTTTTGCTAATCAGTTTCATATTGTAGGGTCCATTGGATAACACTCAACTAGCGTTCTGGGCTATGGTCATACAAGAAAAATGTGAAGCTATAATAATGCTCTGCAACACTATTGAATGCGTGAGTCCTGACTGTACGCCTCGTTCACAGTAGGTCCGCGCTCCCAAAGGATGAGCACAAACTGTCCATGTCATGTACTATGAGAAGGAGTGTTATCGATTCTTCTGTCTCGGTCAAGGGCACGGATCGAAATCAATCGGTACACGAACCCTCTTCACCAGCACCGTAGCTGGGCCTGCAAGCCCATAGGTGAAGTCAGCCTCGTGAAGGGGAACTGCGCGGTAGTGACGCCTCCGGCCTACACAGTACTTACTCAGATAAACTTGCAGGAGAAACCTCCGAGATACGGACCGCAGAGTGTCGGCAGCATATGTATGTGCCGACACGCCCACTATTCTGACTGGCTGGCTCGTGTCTGCACACAGTAACCGTGTGGTGGTAGCCAATCACGGACGAGTGGGCGTGTCGGCAGCATATGCTGCCGACACTGCTGCAGCTCGTAACTCGTTGGCTTCCTCTACAAGTTATCTGAGTAGGGCTACGTCCACCTGGCGTAGGCTATGAATGCTATGAAAGAGGTTTTACCTGACAGGCACGGAGTATGAAATCAGCAGCTAGGGTACGTTGGTTGTCGTATCGACTGTTGGCACGAACAAGAGCAGACTTGTCTGGAAAACTCCCTCAAACACGCCATCTTCCCAAACCAGCCCCCTCCGCTTCTGCTGCTGGGGAAGAATTTTATTCGCGGCTATTGACGAAGGTTGCGCCTCAAAGGGTGAGGCATGTGGAAGAAGGGCTAGTAGGCGGGAAGAATGAAGGAAGACTGATGAACGAGTTACTAACCACAGCTGCAAGAATACAACGTATCACTCTTTTGACATGCAAAAGCTAAGTTAAATTCTTTGCCCTCAACAAAAGGCGGTGCTTCCAATATAGCAGATAATGAATATTCTACCACTCTTCAGTTCGCCTCAGGATGAACACGGCATTGAGAAAGTCCAACAAATGCGATCCGGGGCAGAGTGAATCATCGGTCGAAGTTTTCCTCAACAGCACGTCGAAGATTTTCGCCTGATCCGTTACGTCTTCATGCGTGGAAGTTCACTCTCGCCATATTGCTCCGAAAGCCGATCTGCTAAGTCGTAGTACATTGCACGGCCTTTACACTTAAATAATGAGCATGGTTTTGCAGCTTCTTATGTGCATGAGACGACTAAATTTCGTATGCAATCATGCGTCCTTCGACTGTTTGTGAGGGGACAATATCTCTATTCCGCCTGTGGAATTCATCAGGAATGAACTTTATTCAGGGAAAATTTAAATGTTCTCAATATTGGCCACATGACAAAGGCGAAGTCTATTCTGTTGGTGAAGGTGAAGGAAAAATTACAGTAACCAATCTTGATGTAAGTTTGGTCTTTTTTCCCATGAATCAGTTATCTCTCCTCCCTGTCACTTCGCATTGTTGGGATGCTGGAGATATGCATTCTAACGGCACAGGACGGGAAACTTTATAGAAGATTCGGGGAACGTTTTCTGTTAGCGTGCTCGAGGTAAAAATCCTGTGCCCATGGTATCCGCTCACACTAATGCATAGAAGTGACCACCCTCTGCTTTGAAAACCAGATGCGCGTGGAAAGCAGACTGCCCATCACAAGTGAAAACGGCCTTCACAAAATGTAAATGTTCAAATTGAATGGCTGGCCGGTGCAGTTGCATTCTATCAGCTGTCACTAATTACAACTATCATTTACCAATATCAGCTATCACTATGAACCACTAGTAACCAGATTTACTTGGAGGCGTCGTCACTTGTGGTGTGTGGTCTGCACTCGACGCGCATCTGGTTTTCGGAAGCAGTGCGTAGGTTGTTTTCATCAGAGCATACTCATGCAGTAGCTTGCGGAAGCTTTCCATCAGGTTCGAATTAGTTTTATTGTCAACGATGAGTATCAGTTGACAAAATAGAGCAAATTCGCAAGGGGGATGGATGATGGTCGGACCAAGAGAGATTGTACCCTAGAGACGCATTATTGCTAGGAGTGTGTGTAAATTAGGATTTTCCAACGAATACAAGTCACCTATTAGTGACTGTGGAGCAATACTGCCAAGGATAACAGGGTGGGTCGGCTGTCCGTGTGCGGTGTGTGCGGCATTGAGTCATATGCTGTTCCCCTTGGAAGGCCTGCACGAGGAACTTAAATTGCAGTCGGACTTATAAGCAGCCCTGGCTATAGAACTTTTCACATTAGAGCATTTCACTCGTCATGATTTCCTCTAAGGAGTCTTCAAAAAGTACCGAGTCCATTTAAATGTCCTCGATTGGAAAATTTCTTTTAGGTTCGACCAATGTCTGAAGAAGATAGTTTTGTAAGAGTGTGTCGGTTGAGATTAGACTTTCAACAAGGTGGACGACCAGCTACGCATATGGTCATGCACTATCAATGGGAAAACTGGCCCGATCGAGGAGTGCCACCCACACGACTTACTGCCACGGTCTGCTTAGCAGTCTTACTCAGAACTATCGTGAATATCCTACCACTTTCTAGAATCTGCTCTCTGAGGTACGCGGCACAACGAAACCAATTTTGGTGCACTGTTCAGCCGGTATCGGACGGACTGGAACGATTGTGGCAATTGCTTACGTACAGGAAAAAATGCAACACGGGGTAGTGCATTCTCTTCGGATTTCAGCTTCATAGTACTTACCAAAGTTCCATATTTTATGATGGAATTCTACGTTTTTGAGAATAAATAGAGAAGTCTCACAAAAAAATTTCAGCAAGACTGTATGGATATGGATGCGCTCACGAAAGAACTGCGTACTCAACGGCCTTACTCCATCCAGAATGAATTCGTCAGTTTCATTGGAAATTAGCATTTTTTACAAAGAAATAATTTTCTACACAAATACAACCCATTCGGCAAAGAAA